TATACCGCATCCCGCCCTGTAATATTGCCTGAGCTACTTTGAAACTTGGAAGTTTTTTCTAATGCAATGCAGAGCCACATTAGAAATTAACTATCTCTCTGTTGATTCATATTCAGTTGTTGTAAATGACTGTAGCCCAGCTCTTCTCCAATGTAGGGTTTCCAAGCCATAAATTGCCCCACCTTATATCTTACGCCCTATATTTTTTCTCTTAAACTAAATACTTAATGGATTAAACTCAGGGGATCAAGCTCTACACTCTTCCTTTTCGTTCTTTCCCCGCTGTTGCTGCTACTGCAGCCCTTTCTAATTGGGCTATACCGAGCGATACTCCCCGCAGCGCTAGAAAAACTCAAAAAATTTGAGTGCCCTCTTCTGGTCAGGAGCTGGCTTTGCCTGAGTGTTCCCACCGGATGACTTTTGGGCTATCTGTTGCCCCATCAGGCCATCAGATAGGTCCACCCAAGGCTTCAGGGCAAGGATGAACAAGGATGAGTATCCATCCAAGAATGTGTTCCTCTCCCCACACCCACCCCCTACACGCACCCTTTCAGGAAATGAGTTCAGTGCGGGTTACACATTTAATTTTAGCTCTATTCTGGAGCCGGTCTGGAATACTCCCTAGCACAAGTGGCCGCCTTTGTTCTGATAATGCTATCTAGTGGAATTCTTTTAGAATAGAAGAGAATTCTTCTATTGGCCAAGTGTGATTGGACACACAAGGAATTTGTCTTGGTGCAAATGCTCTCAGTGTGCATAAAAGAGAAGATACATTCGTCAAGAGTCAAGAATCATCAGGGACAACACTTAATGAGAGTCATAGAGTACAATAAGAATATAGAATAGAATAGAAAAGAATATAGAATAGAACAGAACAGAACAGAATAGAATAGAATTCTTTATTGGCCAATGTGATTGAACCCACCAGGAATTTGTCTTTGGTGCAAATGCTCTCAGTGTACATAAAATAAAAGATCCATTCGTCAAGAGTCAAGAATCATCAGGGACAACACTTAATAGAAAATAGAATAGAATATAGAATAGAATAGAAAATAGAATAGAATAGAACAGAACAGAACAGAACAGAATAGAATAGAATAGAATTTTTATTGGCCAATGTGATTGGACCCACCAGGAATTTGTCTTTGGTGCAAATGCTCTCAGTGGACATAAAAGAAAAGATACATTCGTCAAGAGTCAAGAATCATCAGGTGCCACACTTAATAATAGTCATAGGGTACAAATAAGCAGTCAAATCATACTAGAAAACAGTCAATATAAATCGTAAGGATACAAGCGACCAAGTTACAGTCATACAGTCCCAAGTGGGAGGGGATGGGTGATAAGGAATGATAAGATTAACAGTAATAGTAATGCAGAGTTAGTAAATAGTTGGACAGTGTTGAGGGAAATATTTGTTTAGCAGAGTGATGGTGTTCGAGAAAAAACTGTCTGGTTGTTCTGGTGTGCAGTGCTCTATAGCGTCATTTTGAGGGAAGGAGTTGAAACAATTTATGTCTGGGATGTGAGGGGTCTGTGGATATTTTCACAGCCCTCTTTTTGACTCGTGCAGTATACAGGTCCTCCATGGCAGGCAGGTTGGTAGCCATTGTTTTTTCTGTAATCCTAATTATTCTCTGGAGTCTGTGTCTGTCTTGTTGGGTTGCCTCAAAGAACCTTCAATGCAACGAAGGGCGCATTTTCTTCCGCTGAGGTAACGCACGCCTTCTAAAGCCTGTGGGAAATGAATGGGAAAGACTCATTGTGGTTGACTTTGTGGTACTGTACTGGGGTACCGTTAGTTATCTCTGCACAGCAGTTAAGCAGTTGTCGTCCTTGTGTGGATACCCTTCCTATCGGTTGGCATTCTACAGGGAGGGAACTGAGAATGAAATAAGAGCATTCCAAGTGTCTACACAAAGATATGTCTGACATGACAACCTTCCCCATCTGCCTGATTGCATTTGGCTTTGAAATTAGAATCAGAATAGAGCTGGAAGGGACCTTGGAGGTCCTCTAGTCCAGCCCCCTTCTCAAGCAGAAGACCCTATACCATCTCAGACAAGTGACTGTCCAGTCTCTTCTTAAAAACTTCCGGTGATGAAGCGGACTTTCTGAAGGCAACTTCTGTTCCACTGATTAATCGTTCTAACTGTTAGGAAATTCCTCCTTAGTTCTCGGTTGCTTCTCTCCTGGATTAGTTTCCATCCATTGTTTCTTGTCCTGCCCTCAGGGGCTTTGGAAAATAAATTGACCCCCTCTTCTTTGTGACAGCTCTTCAAATATTGGAATACTGCTATCACATCCTCCCCAGTCCTTATTTTCTCTAACTAGCCAAACCCAAATCCTCCAACCGTTCTTAATACGATTTTTAGCCTCCAGGCCTTTAATCATCTTAATTGCTCTTCTTTGCAATTAATGTTAAAATCCTGTGTAAGATCAATGGTAGGACCTGTGCAGAGTTCTCAAGAATTTCCCTCTTGGCTAGTCTTAATAAATGATCAACTATAAGCCAGGATAAGCCGTTACCTTTACTACCCCTCTTTCTCAAATACATGTGTTTAAAAACGTTTAATAGCCTTTAAAACAGTATTGGTGAGGATTCTCCTTCTGGTTTGGGATAAAAGTTGAGAAGAGGTTTCTTTCTGTCTTTAGTTTCATGTCCACCCCCCCCAAAAAACCCCAACTATTCTACTCACAATAGAAAGCTTGCATTCTGCTCTTCAGGAAAGATTTTGGCTTATCAGGGGATTACTGGATAAGGGTGAAGTGGTTCTATGGAACATTTAGACTTGATAGAACTTGACCATCTGTGTTTATGTGTTCACGCAAGGGTGGCCTTCAAAAAATTTAGCGAGGGGTTCTCTGCCCAGTTGCTGGGAGGGTAGGCCATGGTGGGCGTGGCCTACTCAGCCTCCTGCACCACGGGGGTGGGCATTTTTGTCCTTCCCAGGCTCCAGAGGCCCATTTCCAGCCTTCCCAAACTCCAGAAGACCCAATTTTTTGTCTTCCCTGAACCTCTGTGTGCACCCTGTACTTACCTGCATCCAAAATGGGCCACCTGGGGACTCTTGGGAGGGGAAGGGAGGAGCAAGGTAGGCCAGCCAGGAGTGGGATTTGCAAGGTCTCCAAACCCCTGCGAACCCCCAGCAGCCCCGTCCTGCGTCTTCGTAACAGTTACAAGGGTGCAGAAAAACCAGGGATGTTGGATACGCAGTTTGGCAGGTGGCTGAGACGTGCAGAGTTTTGTAGAAACGTATTTCTAGCTTCCGTGGCTGGTTGTGAAGATTTATTTGAAAGACTGCTGGCGAGGCTTACTGAAATCTTGAACAGCCAGTTAGCCAGATTGCATTCCTGTGGGGGGTTTTGGGGTGGGGTAGAGTGGTGAGACATTTCACTCCATCTCCCTTTTAACTGCCCCATTTTCCTTCCTTCCTGTGTGGTTATTTATCTAACTTTGCATCCTTTATACAGGTGGCCAAATCTTGCCTTTTCTTGATGCAGAATTTGGATCGTTGGGTTAAACCTAGCCTTTAAATATCTTTCGTGTTTTTTTTTAATTAAGGGTCTAGGACAGGGATGGGAAACCTATGACTTGGGTGTCAAAGGTGACACACCATGACAGCATTCATCAACACCTGAAGCCAAGTGCTGCGGTTCAGGTGGCCTAAATAGAGGGGGAGATAGAGAATTGTTATTCTTTTGTCTTTGAGGGGGGGCGGGAAATGGACGGACGGACAGAGAGACAGACAGACAGAGGAGATAGAGACAGAATTCTGAACCAAGCCCTAACGGTTCATTATCATTGGCTTAGATCGTAGACCTAGGAGAAGGTGGGTTGTGAGATTATTGTATATTTTTGTAGGACCGACGGCTGAAATGCACAGGGATCGATCTGTCTCTTAGCCTCAGGCCTGTGTTACTAGAGTTTATCACCATTGTTTAGCCTCCCTCCCCAAAAGACAAACAGCTTGGTCCCTGGAGGTTTAATAATGAACGTTTGGAAAACTGAATACCTGTAATTGGGGAGTTTCTATGCTGTAGCAAGTTGAGCAACTGTGAGTTCAAGTCCTGCCTTAGGCATGAAAGCCAGTCTAATACACCTTCTTGTTGTTGTTGTGGGGCGAAGAGGAGGGAGAAGGAGTGTTGGGTATGTTCGCTGCTTTTATCTACACCTCTATCACTGTCTGGTTTGGTTCTGCAACCCAACAAGACAGACACAGACTTCAGAGAGTAATTAGGACTGCAGAAGAAAAAATTGCTACCAAAATGCCTTCCATCGAGGACCTGGATACTACACGAGTCAAAAAGAAGGCTGTGAAAATATCTACAGACCCCTCACATCCCGGACATAAACTGTTTCAACTCCTTCCCTCAAAACGACGCTGTAGAGCACTGCACACCAGAACAACTAGACACAAGGATGTTTTTTTCCCTGAATGCCATCACTCTGCTAAACAAATAATTCCCTCAACACTGTTCAACTATTTACAAAGTCTGCACTACTATTAGTATTAATCTTCTCATCACTCCTTATCCCCCACCCCCTCCCACTTGTGACTGTATGACTGTAACTTTGTCGCTTGTATCCTTATGATTTATACTGACCGTTTCCTAATATGTTTTGATTGCTTATTGTAACCAATGACTACCATTAAGTGTTTTCCCTGATGATTATTGACTTTTGACGAATGTATCTTTTCTTTTATGTACACTGAGAGCATTTGCACCAAGACAAATTCCTTGTGCGTCCAATCACACTTGGACAATAAAGAATTCTAATCTATTCTATTATTTTTAAAATAATAAAGGTGAGAGAGAGAGATGATAGTTATAGATAGATATAGACACACACACACACACACATAGTAATCAGTTTAGTTCTATCTGTTATAAAATGTTATATTTGCAAAGTGTTTTGTGATTGATTGTGCAGTCATCTTTGTTAGTGGCCTTTTTTAATGTAATGTCATCCTACTGTCTCTTTTCTACTACGTCAGATACCAGAACCAAGAAACTTCACCCATTCCAGGGTGTCTCCAGTGACAATGTTGCCTCCATTAAATGGCTCTCCATCTCCTGGTAGATACTCCTTCTCCAACCCTGGGGAGATCAGGAAGGACCAGGAAAGAAGCCCATCTTCCTATAACCGCAGTTACAGGTAACTTTTCCTGGTTTCTAATGGACCTAAGTAGGAGAATTTTTTAGGACCAAGATTTCCAACCTTGGCAACTTGAAGTCTTGGTGGATGTCATGACTGGCTGGGAAATTCTGGGAGTTCAAGTCCACCAGTCTTAAAGTTGACAAGTTTGGGCACTTTTACCCTAGGAGATCCTTGTTCAAAATATGCTACACTGCAGCTTGTTTGGAAGCTCTCAGTAAGTTTTCTCTCTCGTGCTGTATAGAAATGATGCTGGCTTAGCACTGAATGGCCATAACGATGACTTAAAATATGCAAGGGATTGCCAAAGGTGACATTCAGATTCTATCTGTAGATCTTCCAACACTTTTTAGTTTACTTTAAAGTAGCTGTAGGAGTTAGGTTTTTTTTTTTTTCTAAAGTCTTAAATTACCTTTCCAAGTTTCCATGGAGGAGTGGGAGAAATATAAATGGATAAATTATTTTAACCAAATTCTTTCCCAATCGTAATCTTTTTAATGGCGAGCCAGGAAAGTCCAGGGAGTTGGGAGAGGAAGGTTGAACACCTTCCTCTTTCCAGCTTTCAAATTAGCATTTGAAGTCAGAGCAAGTTGTGAGGAGATGGCAATTGGGGATCAGTTGCATCTGGATCGGATTTAGCTCCTGGAGTCAAACCAGTGATTTATTTGGTTTGATTGTAGTCGGCCTTCTAAGGTCTTAAGAAGAATCTCGTCATTTTGATGGTTTGTGCAAGGAATTCAAGCTCCATCGCTAACTCTGGACCTGCAAAGCAAACAGGAGTGTTGGTGTACACGGGGGTGGGGGGAGAGAAGAGAGGGAGGGAGGGGGTGAGAGAAGAGGGAGGGAGGAAGAGAGGGAGAGACAGGAGTGAAGGAGAGAGAGAGAGAAGGAGAGGGATGGAGAGAGAAGAGAGCAGGAGGGAGAGAGGAGAAGGGGAGAGGAAGAAAAGGAGGAGAGAGAGGGGAGAGAAAGAGGGAGGGAGGGAAGGAGAGAGGAAGGGAGGGAGAAGAGAGCAGGGGGAGATGGGAAGGAGAGAGAGAGAAGAAGAGAGAGAGAAGAGAGCGGGAGGGAGAGGAGAAGGGGAGAAGAAGGAGGAAGAGAGGAGAGGGAGGGAGAGAGAAGAGAGCGGGAGAGAGGAGGGGGAGACAGGAGGGAAGGAGAGAGAGAGAAGGAAGAAG